CATGTCAGTCCTACGGTTACTACTCTTTATGAGATAGAATTCAAGTCAAACTTCAACTTACAGGTAAGTCTCGTTTAACTCTCCAATTATAAAATAATAATAAAGAACAGTATACGTTATCATTCTAAAAGTCTTGCTTAATGCTCAAATTTTTTAATCCAAATTTATTAATCCAAATGTACAGTGTAGCCAAATTAAAGATCATTGTGTGGCTATTAATATACCATCAATGGTAAAATTAGCTAACGATGAGCAAACGACAGCCGACAAACTGAAGAAGGGAACACAACAATTCCAGTGTTCGGGGTCTGGGTGCACAAAAAATCACCAGGCTAACTTCTTCTCGGGTGCATCATTTCCAAAGTCTGGTCCCATCATTCTCAAGATCAAGGGGGAGGAAAAGAATGCCACTGCAATTTTGGTTAAACGAAATGAGTTTAGTCAAAATGACCTCAATTCAATTGATGCAGGTAAGTTTATTCAAAACTCTACAGCATGTTTTCAACCCTATTTTCTTAAAACGTAAGGCATATTATTATAGGTTCTTCAGGGACTGCCAATTAACGAGTTGCTCATGTGCATGATATATTTTATAAAATTCGTTGCAAACATTTGGGTCGATTCGGATGATTGTTTAGAGACTTCTTCTTATATACTTTTTTCTTTACAGTATTTAAGAGGCTGTCTCTGTAAGAATCTCATAACCATTCCGGGTGAAAAAATAGATTTCTTTCAAACTCTGTGCGTGTGTGTGGCCTTCAAAGGTTAGTTCCAAAACACATTTTGTTTTGAGTCTCGTCGCTTTATTGCCGGGTTTCAGGAGGGTCCCCTCGGGCGGTCAAACCGGAGATTTTTGACCTTTCAAAGTTGCGAAATTTGGTCGACATTCAAGCTCTCGTAACCGCATAAGAAATTATTAAAAAACGAAATGCTTTCAGTTGAAAGGAGATACATATCTTATGTGCAACTGGGTAGCTGCAATGTAAATATAACATTTTTCTTATTGAGATATATATTTTTGACCGCCACTAATAAACGACGTTGTCCAGTTGGGTAAAAATATGGGTAAATACAAAAAATCATAAATCAAAAGTTAGATCTCGTACGGCTTTGATAGTTGAGTGGTGCAGAGATGAAAGGTGGTTCTAATATAAGATACAATAATATTTTGCGGCCAGCAAAATTTTAGAATTTGAGAGCTCGGCAAAAATGTACCATTCTCAATATTTCACTATCTGTGCCGATATCGACTTATCAAAAAATNTTTTTCTGCAAAGTTTTGCTCTTTAGTTGCCATGCAACATTCTAAAAAACGTTTTTAACTCATCCGTTGTACAACATGATAGTAAAAACAGATTATTACTGCATACCTGTACTCTAAGCCGTTAAGTCATTTCTTTGAAATTGAAGATTATAGACCACGTCGAGTAAACTGTCAGCGATTCATGCATAGTCGTCACTTTTAACCTTCTTTTTTTTCTATTTCGAGTCTTTGGACAATGAACTATGACTTAGTCTCGTAATGTAGTTGAATTAAAGATGTTAAGTATGAAAAAAACCTGTCTTTTCTTCTTGATTTCAACTTACATAATTTCACTCGATTGCTTCTTGTCTGATGACAAAAGCCGCTGACCAGCAAAATATAATCATCTGTCAAATTGAAACATGTCGATTACTTGTTTTTGTGCGGATAAAACTTGTGGCGAATCTCGAGGAAAAACAGATCTTCTTAAACTAGTTGAATGCAGGGATGATATACTTAGTCATCTCCAGAGGTACCATCTTTCACGAGAACCTTTGACAGAGTATCAACTTATCTTGGCGAGGGCCGGAAAATTTAATGTAAATGACGAGGATGTGTCTRGTTGGTGGGTTTGTCCAAAGSATAGATATGGYCTGGGGAGGTATTGGYTTCCAACAAAAAGRTGTTGCARCATGAAAAATCATTCTGGTGCACTTAAAACACTCACTGGAAGAGATGTCATTTCTTATGATATTGCAAAGTGGTYACAAAAGCTTTACGGACTGAATGTCCCCCTTGGAGCAGGTGAGAYTTGGCGTTTTGCTGATAACATGAAATCAAGAATGTGATAGACCAATTATCACACCCCACTAAATAACGTATTTTTTTGTGCAACAGTCATAATGCAATTCAAGTATCATTCTTTTGAAGGGTTTCTAATCGCATTTTCACAGTTATATTTTAATTGAAATCCCAGCTTTAGCAGGGAAGGGAAGCGTACACATTTACTGTGTGCATGTTTTTGTCTTGAAGAGGTGAAACGCTCTCATTTGTGGGCTCTATTGCTTACATTATTTTATACATTTTATGGAAAAAAGATCA